TCTCAATACCAACTTATACTTAATTGATTCAAATAGCCTCATGTCTTACTGATAATCCAGAAGTCCAAAATATAAACTACACTGATGCAGTGATGAACTCTTATTTCAACACTAGCTCTGTTGATCTCTCTTTTTCATTTGATCTTCTCATTTGTGTCAAATCAATCACCCAAACTCTCACTGAAAAGAAAAAAGAGGCAGCAATATAGAAATTTTAACATGTTCAAAATTCAAACTATCTGCATTAATATCAACTCTTGGAATTGTAACATCCTGAAATTTAGACTTGAGTGCTTGTAGGTGTAGGCAAGAAGTTTTGATTAGTATGCTATTTTCCAAATTGGATAGGAACTCAAAGGCGATGTACTCAAGGTAAGAGAGAGAAAATAAAGAAATCCTTATAGTTAAGGAATTTTTAGGAAATTTACCCCATGTCCACTTATTATATATAATTTATTGGATTATAAATTACAGTGAGTGTGGACACAAGTTATGATCCATAAAAGTTTAAAGATGCCTAGGAATATACAGAAAAATTTAGGAAAAGAAAGTCAAAGCAAGCAAGGATTAAATTATAAAGATTCTTGGTTTAAACTAAATGACATCCTAAATTATCGAGTGAATTAGGGAGAACCTTAATCATAATAAATTAGTCCAAATTATATTCTTATGGCATCAAAATAATATTTTAAGAAGGAAAGTGAAAAATTAAAGGTGTTAATCTTTATTTAAATGTAATTAGGTTATTTCATGGTAATTGGAATTTGCCATGCATTTATATGAGAAAAAAAGAATTAACACAAGATGAGATAAGATTAAAGAGACCATGTTTACTTATGATTCAAGGGAGAAATTAAAGATATTAAGATAAGAATTAGTGAGAAATTGGGAATCAAATTATGAATTAAACTAGTGGTGAGAATGTGTGCGTGTGCGTGTGCGTGTGTATCTTGCAATCACACATGTGAATTAGTAAAGCAATGTATTATTGGTAGCCAACAAGGTTTACAATGGCTCAAGGAATGTTATGCGGCATGTAATCAAGGAAAAAGGAGGGAGAAGATACAAATGAAAGGAGAAGAATGCGTGTGTGTGTGTGAACCAAAATGTATGGAAAGAGTAAGTGGTAAGCACCTCAATTCTCTCTCCCACTAACTTATCATCTTGGCTATGCGACTTGATTTAGCCAAAATGGATTATGTCATGATATGGGAATTGAAGTGAATGTTCAATCTATTACGTGGCTCTAAAACAAATTTTCAAGGCTTGGAATTTATTGTGCGTCAACATTTAAGATTTACCCTAATGGATTGGGTGGCAAATTGATATTTCTTCCACTGATCAAATTTTATCTTCTAAATACACACACAGCGGTTTTATAATCAATTGAGTATATGTGTGTGTGGGGCATCACTTTAGATTAGAAAAGGTTCATGTGGCATCACTTTAGATTAGCAGAGATTTACGTGGCAATAGATGAGACTGCTAAAGAAGAAATTATATTAGGTGGCGAGAATCTAGAATTACTATGAAGAAAGATAAAATAGGTGGCAGCATTTGAGAATTTTTTTAAACTAAAAATTATAATCAGTTTAATCTATAAATTAAAATACCGAACCACTCCCTTTTTCAATGTGTGTGTGTGTGTGTGTGTGGGCGCATCAGCTTTACATGTCTTTGCTCGTTCATTTTTCCTCTGCCAATCAGAAACTTAAAGAAAGTGAAGAAGAGGTATAGAAACAAAAGGAAAACAAGAGGCTGCTCTTGAGAGTGTAAAGATGCAGGAGTAAGGGTGACAATAAGCTAGGATGAAGGAAAAGATTATCTCATGCTAGGAAACAAGGTAGCAATATATACTCTCTTTTTAGTTATGGCTTTAATTCTAGTAGTTAGGCCTGTTACTAGTTCTGTGAATTATTGCAAGTAAGTTTATTGATGCTTCTTATGTATTCTTTTTATTTCCATGGCTATTCCTTGGAGTACATGATTGACTTTACATGAGCAAAGTTGAGAACTGCATTTTGAAACATGCCGTATCTACAAGCTTGTTGATAAACTGGTTTTGCTTGAATATTGTCATAACTTGATATGAGAGTATATGTTGCTACTGACATTTTATAATCTCACACTCCAAATAATATACTAAAACAGGTTCCAGTTTTGTATCAAAGAGAGCAAGAAAGTTTTGAAGAGAAGAAAAAGCAAGAAGTCAAGTTTAAATCATATATCGTGTTTGGTATCATGATTTACAAAATATATGTAAAATCAAGTGACTTTAGAAGATTTGTAGTCTGTCCTGTTTCTTAGAATTGTATGTCCTGAAAAGATGTTTATATGAGTTATGTATATAAACTAGTTAGAATGGGAGTTTAAGGAAAATAACTAGTAAGTGCTATGTTGGAAATGGGAGTTTTCATTATAGTTTCATGTTTGGATCAAAAACTGGATCTAATGACTTATAATTCTTGAAATTGTTAACCTAGATAAAGGACATTCTAAGCTTTATAACAAATCTCATATGAGGGTAATCAAACGTATGTATCATGGGATTACAAGGTTGAGAAACGGATATTGGAAGTAGTGAAGCAAGTAAATCGAAACATTATGTTTTTAGAACACTGTATTTATTCGCCAGAGAAAATTCTGTTTACTATTTTTATCATATGGCAGACTTCACAAGCTTTTAAATGAGCTAGGGATCACATATATATGAAAGATGTAGAATTTACAATGAATTTTGAAAGTAGACCTATGAATTCTAGAGTTAGTTCTGTGGACAGACTAAGTGTTCAACATTTATGAGTAAACTATATAATCTGGGCTTATCTAAGTTCTGTTTCATGTTTTTATTTTTGGAGAAGGCATCTCAATCTTTCAAACAAGCCCAAGATCACTTTGATTGGAGCTCTATAATTTTAGATATGAATTTTGCAAGGTAGGACGCAGAAATCTGACTCTAGTATGATTGAGAATTAAACAGTTTTAAAGAGTTATTAAACTGTATTAAATGGATGCACAAAAGTCATGTGGTATATTTTTCCCTTATAGATAAGGTTCTATGCTTTTTAACAAGCTCAAGAACACATGAATTGGAGTCCTATAACTTAATAAATGAATTTTTAAAGTCAAAGAAAAAACTCTGGAATGTTGGAAAGGGCAAAACAGAGCAATCTATTTAAACGAATAAACTGTATTGATCGGCTTAGTCAAAGTCAAGTTTTGTATTTGTCTTATATAGAGGACTCATTTAGCTTTAAAGAGAGACAAGAATGAGCTCTCAGCTCTATCCAAGATTTCTAGAATAAGTTATGAATTTTTAAAGTCAGCCTAAATTTCTAGAAATATCTAGATAAAGCAATTCAAGATTGAGTTTGAATTTTCAAGTTCTTCTTGTCTCTAACTGCTCCTAATGGAACCTAATATATCTTCCATTGCCGAATAAAGGTTCCTAAAATAGGATGTTGCAGGAATCACTCATGTTCAGCAGGCATAAACAATATGAATAACAGATTGAAAACCAAACAATATCTTACCCGGTCCAGAAAATAACTTGCACCTCTAGGTAGCATAGCTAGTTCATTTCTCCGGTTGTATGTTGCTTGAATGGCTGCATCCCTCCATAGCTCTTCTATAAGAGGCGCATATTCACGAGTAGCGGCAGGAAATATCACATCCAAGTTGCCCGAAACCATATATTTGATAAGCCAATCTGAGAAAGCTTTCAGTCTTTGGCTAATGGAATAGATTGTTGTATAAGTAGTTTCGCCTGTGTTCCCTGTTGCTAACTGATGTTAATAAATTCTTTCCATAATAAACTATCAGTTAATGGCAGACGAACTTTTTCTTTAGGCTAATTAACAAAGAGCCATCACTACGCAGAAGCATCGTGTAAATAGTTTCACGGGACTGTTTTGAAAGGTAAGTCAGAGTGTGCACGTATTGAAGCATTAAGATATCATAATGGCATTGAAGTATTCTAAAGCATTCAGCTTAAAAAAGAAGAAATGCCATATATGCTTTGCCGTTTGCAATTGACTACACAACATTAATTAATTTCTCTGGCTGCAAGAAAATCATAGAACATTTGAAAAAACTTCCGCTCAAGTTATCAATAATGCTGAGTGGTCGAATCTATAAAACCAGCCTACTTTATGATACACACACACACTGATTTGCAAAGGGGAAGGGGTCAAGGGAATGCTGCCAATCATTTGATCCAAACAAGCCTTCTGGTTAATTTTCATTTAGGGAAAAAGAATTACCAGCTGAAGTGGATTCGTCAGCAATCTGTCCGTTCCTCTTCTCCAACAAGCTCTCTTCAAAAGTCTCACGCCCCTCCAGCAATATACCAAGGTATGTATACAAGTTACTTTGGATCACCAACTTGATATTTTGGCGCTCTTCTTCAGAGAAAGGAATGTTGTACAGACGCTTGGCCTGAGATCAAATATTCAGTCTTTAGGATCACTCCAAATCAAGGATTATTTAACAAACATAAGTGTTATCCATTCGTCAAATATACAAAGGAAAAGGCAAGAAATACCAAAATTTAACCAAATAGAATGTATATCAGAAGAAATTCTGAAAATATGGGTCAAGCACAAAGCTATCACCTGACCAGGACAACTAGCAATGTAAGCTGTGACCGATAAAAATCAAGTATGTTGAAGAGCTCAGGTCTGTAACAGTTATAAATGTACAATACCTTTAACTTCATTTTGTTTGGGATCAACATCATATAGAAATGATCGCAGGAGAAACGGAAAGCAGTAAAAGAATTAGGCTAAATTATTCAACTTATCAACATCAAATTTTCCTTTGGTCCATTAACAGTGCTCAGTGCAACGAAAAAGAGTTCCCTCCAGCAGCGTTCTTGTTACTACCTGTTTAACTATAGTACTTGTTCCAGATTTGATAGAACCAACGAGAAGAAATTTGTAAAGGTTTTTCTGTACAAGGTTATCTTTGATTCTATTATCTCCTCCTTCGCTTTCACCACTGGGAGCTATGGGGTTGGAAGGAACTGGCAGACGCAGAAAGACACAAGCTATCCTCACTATTGTCTGTAAAAGAGTATACTCACGATCATTGACGAATGATATAGCAAGAAAAATATGGGAAGAAAAGGCAAGTTCAATCAACACACTAGTCACCTTATCCCATATACGCCCTTTGACATTCCTCTGCCCCTCTTCCAGGTAGGAGCCATCTTCACCAACCCAAAAGTTAGGTGTTCCTTCACATGGGATTCCTGCTAGCTGCAAACAAACAGAACATACTTCGATTCATTCAACATGCTCAGTAAACCTCAATAAATTATAGTTATTCCCAGTACGACAACCTTCAGCATCGTGAGCTCGCGTTTCGTAATTTCTCGGCCATTTATTGACACTTTTGTGTCTCCTTTGCTTGCATGTTTTTGCAGGTGACCTCCAACATCTAGTTGCGGGCTAATAATTTGCCAAGGCCTATGACCATCCTGTTAGATTGCAGTACGACAAATATGGGTTTCAATTGTTAAAGCATTAACAGTAAAATCTGAGGAACTCAACCTCATAAAGGTTGAGCACCAGGAAGATTAACAAGATTAATATAAGAACTTAAGAAGGATAATATTCACCTTTCCCCAAAATCCAGATGCTTTATCATACCAATAGTAGCCTGGTTTAAACTTTTTTGGGGGTTTGTGACAGCTCAGTAACAGCTTTAGCTGGCTTCGGTCAAGAGGATCCTCATTCACCAAAAAAAGTTCTGGGGGCATTTGATTAGTTTCACAATTCAATTCAGCTTGCATTATCTGTTTTACTTGCACCTCAGACAACATGCGTTTGAGCATACGAGAACACTTTCCCTGGGTAATCCTCATATTTTCATCAATTCTGAAACCAATACAAGTGATACATTTCCTTCCTTCAGGCATAGACCCCATGACTCTTATAACACAGGATCGGCAATATTTGGCACGACACACAATGCAAATCTCCTTTTCAGTGAACCGATTTCCTCTTTTGCATCTATAGCACGTGCCTTTCTTCCCTGTTCTCTCAGCATGTGGCCTCACAGGGATGCTCGCAACCTCAGAACCCCTAAAGTTCTCGTTAACTGCCATCTCAAGTGACTCTTCTGAACTAAGAAAAGTCACAACTGAAGGCCGATTGACATGTACCGGTGCGTTATTGTTACGGTCATCTTCTCTGCATGAAAAAATGCCGGAAGAAGCTGAGCGCGAGCTTGAGCCTGACTCTGCAGTATCTGAATTTGTGGGGTTCAATTCACTTTCAAGAGACTCGCTAACAATTTCACCCCTGCCAGAAACTCCAAAAGACCCAGAAGTCTGAAGTTTCTGTGATATATTTTCTGTGCTACACTTACAAGCATCATAAATTCTGTTTAACGAGCTTGACTTATCTATCCTATCTACTGTATCCACCCTAACTCGCAAAGAGCCAGTCTTCGTTGACTCAGCAGAGCCAGAGATAGCAAATTCAATAGCAGGAGAATTTGAATCTGAAGAAACAAGAACATCTCCATTAAGTTTCAGCTTTTTGTTAGATTTCACAATAGGTTGAATAACTGGCACGGAAAGTTGATCAACTGAAGAAGAAGCTAAGGAAGCAACTGGGATTTGCTCAATTTTAAAAGGGGTTACTTGAGGGATGGAGAAATTGAGAGGAGGGCCCTTGTACTCTGTTGCAAACGAGTACTCATAGCTAAACTCGTTGCCATCATCGTGAATCGACGATGACGCAGCAGGCCGCAATTTTCTTAGAAGCGAAGCCATGGAGGATCAAGTTAAGATCACACTAAAACATGACAGACCCAAACCGCTTCATCGTCACTATCATCTAAACCCCATGAAAAAAAGTACAGATTTTTGGGAAGATCCGCGAAAAACATACACACAAGTTCAACAACCAGAAACCCAGGTGAAGAATTGGCGCTCCAATCAGTTGTGGAATGAAGTGATGAGGATGGGAAAAGAAGCTAATGAAGTCAGCAGGAGTGAGGAATGAGTAGTAAACAAAGGAGAAGGGAATGGAACAGTAGGGGAAGGCTTGGACTACGGGTTTATGAAATTGAAACGAACACGTCCAACGGAAATTGCTGGGAAATGACAGAACAACGGCGCGGAATTATTCAAACGACCTCGTCTATTATAAATTCTTCCAAATAGGTGGCCTCCGTACACTCGGAGAAATTAGCTGTAATCAGTAATCAGTGGTGTACTTAAATACGAGCAGATCACACTAGCGCACTCGCCTGCAGCGATCGTGACAAATGCTTGCTTTTGACCGACTCGGTACCGCAAGTCCGCAACGAAGGGTTTACATAATTTTTTAATTAACCTTTTATATCAATCAATCAATGACTTACTGTTAATGTCATCGTACACCAATAAAACAAAATTTACAGAGGCTATAATAGTAGTGAAACACGATATTTTCAAAACCGAACTGGAGTTGGTCCGGTCCGGCCGGCACCCATTTAGTATAACAGCTTGGCTTGTACATTTAGATTGTTTGAATAATTTGTTGGGATTGAGCCATCCGAAATCGGATGTTGAGCCAGAAATCAGAGTTGGTTCACACAAATGGTATGAGTCAGATTTTTTTTTTTATTATTGAGAATCAGAACTCGAAAATGGAAGGAGGAGAAAGAAAAAATGAGAAAGACGATGATCAACCCAAAAAAATAAATAAATAAATAAATCAAGTTAAAAACATATTAAAAAAAGGAGAAAATAGGCGTTTGTTTTGGTTTTTTTTTAGAAAAAGCATTTTTTTAAAAAAATCACTTTAAGTAATATTTAAGATATTTGTTTAAGATTTTAAAAATAATCAAAATCTAAAAAAAAAATCAAATATTTGATTATTTGGATAAATTAATCTAAATTGCTTCTTAGAATAAGTCCTACGATAGATGAGAGGGAAAATTAGAAAAGGCACGGCGATTTTATGCCAAAACTGCATAGGACAAAAGTAAGCATTTTCCTTGTGTCTTCTTTCTCAACATCTTTTCCCACTCAAGTAGCCATTATTCACCTTCTCCCTCACTCTAGTTTGTTTACATCGGATCAGCCCGATCTCCCAAATCTATTTAGAGGTTTGATTTGTTATTCGGCTGCCTACTATGTTTCGTATGGTGATAGATTTTAGTACTTTAGAGTTATATGATTTTTTTAACATTTATGTTTTCATGTTCAACCTTGCAATTGATTGGGTTTATGAGTGTTTTGAAGTTTACTGGGTAGTATTTTTGCTCTCTTCTTCCATCTTATTTTATCAAGTAAAGTTGAAATAAGAATCAAATTAGGAGCTACAGGTTTAGCCTTTTTGAGGATATAGGTTGAGATTTTCTTTTCTTTAATTATATTTTATCGAGTGTTTAATTCAAGTAATAAGCTCTTTCTATCAGACTTTTTTCAAATTAGATCCTTCCATTATTTAAATTTCACTGTATGACATTGGCAGGTCTCATATATTGTCAACATCTAATTCATGTCTTGTTAAACCTTTGATTTGATGCAACTCTAAATGTAATGCTATCAGCATTCAATCACCTGCTTTCACCACTTACCCATTACTTCCACAATTCCTTTTGACTAAACTTGAGCTTGAACTATAAGATTTCTAATTGATTTATCCCCTGTTCCCAGCTTGCTGAACTTAGTGTAGTGAATTTAATGTGAAACCAAAACTCAAATGCTTGAAGATCTAAAAATTAGTTTATATTTTGACTTTTTTTTATTCACATATAGACAAGTTCAAGAACAATTTCAGCACTCTAGTCAAATCATTCACAACCATTTCAAAAGAGTTTTAACAGCTGTACACAAGTTAGGCAATTGTGTAATTAGACCTATCAATTCAATGGACATTGCTACTTTTTAACATATAAAAGATGATATATAACGTTCATTTTGACATTACCAATAATCACCTCAAACATAACACATAATGACACGATGGTAAATAGGAGTCATTGAGCCCCTCCCAAAGTACCTTAATGAATGAATGTTATAAACTTATAAAAACTTTGAGAAAAAATTGAAAACCTTTAAAATCTCATAAACCCTTTAAAGTAATAGTTTGAGCTTCAACTAATTAAGATTTAAAAGTATAAGAAGCATGGAAGGACATAAGGAAACAAAACACATGAAAACAAGGGCAAGAAAGTCAAATCAGCACTTTTTGGCACATATGCCACAATATATGGCATGAAGAGTTCAATCTTGCCATTGTGTTATGCACCACAGCTTATGTAATTATGTCATAGTGCACATGCCATTTCATAATAATAAAAAATTGTCTATTATGGCGAACTTTAGACGTATGCCATTTTCGCAACTAACATCTAATAATATAGCACTCACATGAAGCTCATTTGATAATTTAGCTAATGTCATAAGTTTCATTCTAATCCAATATCAAATTTGAAAATGTGACATACAAATCTCAAATAACCATTTTAAGAGCAAATTTCATGTATCCAAGTGTTCAAAATCCAAAACTTATATCATCAATTCTTTTTCGAGTTTAAATCAAGTCCAACAGGCCATTGTGTGCCTGATTGATCAATTAATTACACAATCATACGTCAAGCTTAAGATTTGGCCACCTAACCCTAGTTTCTCATAAAACAAGGTCATTCACATAATATTCATATATCATCACTACTTGGCCAAACCATCATACATCCACATATATTTCACATTAATATACGTTTATAACCATATTTTAGCCTGGATACACAATGTTTAATTAAACATTCACCTTAGGCTAAAATACTACAAAATCACATCATACAAGTGTAGTTTTGAATATTACATCACTTTTACACTATAGTTGTACTTGTACTAACATTTCAGCCCCATTATCACATGCATCCAAGGTACGTAAAACCGGACCGGTCATTAAACCGGTCATGGCACTAGGTCACGGGTTAGTGGTTCAATCAGGGTTGAATCGGGGGTTGAACCGGTGGCAAACCGGTCATGATTAAAATAATATAATTTAAATAAAAAGACATTAATTATAAAAACATTCAACCAAATCCAACCACTCAAAAGTCTAACAATAATAAAATACTATATTTTTGGACTTAGCATGCTCTATCTCTAATTTTTTATTTTTTGACTTCAATTTTACTTTTTTTTGTTATTTTTTTCCGAACTCAGAGCTCTGAAAAATTAAAAATGAAAAAAAAAATCAAAAACGACGTCGTTTTGGGGTAAAAGTCTGAAAAAATATTAACCCGATTAACCCAGTCAACCCACCGGGTTATCCGGGTTATACCGGGTTGAACCCGGGTTGACCGGGTTATACCGGTTCACTCCCTCACCGGGTTAAGTGCAAACCCAGACCGGACAGGGGACCGGTTCACCGGTTTCCGGGTTGACCCGGCCGGTCCGGTCCGGTTTTCAATACCATGCATGCATCACAATATTTCACAATCCTAGGCCAAAATACAAGTCATCATTAAATCATATAAGTCCAAACCAAAAACCATGTACATTATTAGTTGGCAACAAAATGCTATTTAGTTACATTCATATATATAAAC